ATCTTAGGCAATATAATATAACAAAATATACATATTTATATTTATATTTATATAATATATAATAATGTATCATATAAATATGCCTAACAAAGTAGAATTACATGAATTAAACAAGTATGGATTACATAAAGGTTGGAGTCATGGAGTGAAGGATATCATTAATTTCATATGGTTATATATAACACATAAACAATCCCATAGAAGAGGTTTCACTTTTTATTTTTCGTAATTGGGGTGTTCATTCCAGTTTATACGTATTTGAAGTGAAAATACTAGTCTTTTGGGCCTCATAAAAGAAAAATTGGGAGTCCCAATGCGGGACCTTTTTCGAGACTTTGACCGGCCTGTTGAAATGTACCTTCCTTGCCTTGGAAAGGTAGTATGTCTAGTCTTGCACTTTCTTTAGTTTATAAAGATGGACGAGCTCCTCGATGGATGGCTTGCCCAAATCGACAATCATATATGCTATATACAAACATATGATTATGATGTATGAGTTCGTGGACAACTAGATAGGAATGATATCGAACCATCTCAGAACTCTGTCAATAAAATAATGAGGATGTATTGATACCCTGCATCTCAGGAGGGTATCAAAGGTCGCTACCCACCTGGGTGGAGGATTCTTCCGAGAAGAATTCTCGGGAAACATTAAATTGAGTTGCAGCGCATAAACCTCTCTTATGTGCCTCAGGTCCTCAACATTAATCAAGGATTATGGTTCCCTCCGTAGCTTATGAGCTGGAGGTCGTTGGATTGAGCCAACTACACTAAGGCACGATTGGACGAGGTCGACACATCAGGGTCCGAACTTTGCATGATGATTTCCTCGGAAACCTTGGGGATTATATCCATGAGGATTGTCGAGCCCGCGGGTGAGCCAAACATGTGATCAATCATGTGACTATTGGAAGAAGACATAATTATAGCTTGCTTTCAGATACCTAAAACAGAAGCGAACATGTGTCAGAGCTCAAAAAACTCAGTGACCTATCCACACTTGCTTTCAGTTCAAGCACCCAAGATAGCTCGCGCCACATGACAAGCGCACGCGACTTACTCAAGGTTCTGATGACCATCGCGATAAACCTTCCTTAAACCGAAGGCCGCCTGGGACACGCTAAAAAACCTTTGTAAGGTCCTAAAAGGCTCAATGTGGCCACGATAATGGCCACCCTTAGCTGCAAAAATCAAGATAGCAATTAACAAGAAGGAAAGAAGCCTTGAATAAGAGAATGGGAAAAACTCGCCAGAAAAGAACGTCATGACGACAGTGAAGCAACAACAGAATAAGCAAAAGGCATCAAAGAATTCTTGCAAGTTGAGTTAGTTTCTGAAGACTTCGCTCGCTTTTATAGTGGTTTGCATAGGAGATGAAATGGTAGGGTTTGATCGTAGTCGTCGATCTACAATGAATCTCAACCCTTCATTCATTGAGCAATCATAACCCTTGGACCTAGCCATGTGTCAGACATCTGCGAGGGGTGACAAACCATCAGATTGATGTGACCATAACCGTTGTCGCACGTCGCCTCAACTTTGTGCGTGGACAACTGTAGTCGCCCATGCACGATGAAATGTGACTACCAAAGGCTACCACATTTAATGCGACATGACCGTATGGAACTTACATAATTTTCCAAACCATTTATATTCCAAGTTGGATAGGTGTCACGGAGGAAAGAAGATTCAAGTGTGAAGTACATCAACTGATCATGGGTTCGACCCTCAAAGCTCAACTGAGCCTGCATCTGATGGCCTACTGACAACATCGAGCTTGATATTAAATCGAGCAATAGTTTTCAAAGCTTGAAACAAGCATTGAACACTAGGGGGCAGATGTTGTGTGGGATTTTTCCATCAAGCTTGGGGAGTTGTGAGGTAATAGCTCGATCTAGAATTAGTCCAACTCAACCGATTGTTCGACCCAGCATAAGCTCGTTGAGATATAGCTCGACCTAGCATAAGCTTGTTGAGATATAGCTCAACCCATCATAAGCTCGTTGAGATATAGCTTGACCCAACACAAGCTAGTCGTGAACAATCTGAATTATCGCTCAACCAATTTCCAAATAACTGCAGATCCCAGATATCTTTGGAATGATCAGATTGATAACAATCCTTGCGTAATCACAACGCCTAATCGTGAGAATTTCGGAGTTACATTTCAATTTAATTGTAATCCATTTAATTTTGTTATTTCCTTTGTACAAACTTTGTATATAAACCCCCTCAAACGACAAGGAAGGGTTGGAAAAATATTCCTAGAATTATTATGGTAAGCTCACACAGTAAATACAAAGAATAATGGATGTAGGCTTAAGAGTTCATCTCATCGAACCACTTTAAAATCCTTCTTTGCCATTTACTTTACTGCATTCATTATTAATCCATTGCTGGTTATCCGTAATTACGCACACACCAGTTCCGATCCCGCTAAGGTCAATCGGATCACTCTAGTTGGTATAGATTTCTATATCAACAGTGGTCATTCGTATTGCATTAAATCTGAAATGAAAATGAAAATTTCAAAATAACCCCACCCATGAATTGTCCGGAATAATGTCGTTCCTTGCGACCCAACTCCATCCATGCACGACTGTCATCTCATGACAATTTAGACTGATTTTGACGTCGTCAGCACTGTTGGGCTTTGAGGGAAGGCGTTCGCCTTGTTTTGCAAATGAATTAGAGTACTTATTATTAATAAAAATTAAAACTCAAAAGAAAAAAAATGTTGTTAAAAGCTATATAATATTAGCTCAAAAGTTGAGCATTACTTAAAAGTTAGGACGACAATGATATTTAAATTTGAATTAATTGATTATTGAAGAAAGAGGGATAATTGCAAACCGGTGGTAGAAATTGAACACGTTTATTTGATATTTCTCTTCCTCAGTTACAAACTTCACCAAATTAACCTTCCACCAACCGCATTATTCAATATATATATAATTCACACTATTGAAATATTGGATACAATTATATTATATAATAATTATTAACCATAGCTAACAACATCTTTCAGTTAAAAACAAAAATTATGCCGCTGAAATGGGTTTAACAAAACTTATCCTTTTATTTAACTTCTGAGATATCAATAATAGTTGATTACGGTGTTCATAGTTTATTTTATTTTGACATAAATTCTGTGATTTTGTGAAATTTTTAGTTATTCCATAATTGAATTTTGGATAAGCCAAATTGTTATGCAAATGGGTTAGAAATTGGTTTCCTCCCCTATCTTAGGCAATATAATATAACAAAATATACATATTTATATTTATATTTATATAGTATATAATAATGTATCATGTAAATATGCCTAACAAAGTAGAATTACATGAATTAAACAAGTATGGATTACATAAAGGTTGGAGTCATGGAGTGAAGGATATCATTAATTTCATATGGTTATATATAACACATAAACAATCCCATAGACGAGGTTTCACTTTTTATTTTTCGTAATTGGGGTGTTCATTCCAGTTTATACGTATTTCAATTAATCTTTAGGGTTTATTGAACACTCTATAAACTTAAAAGACCAAGAAGTCACAATATTATTGCGATAAGTGACCCTAAAATTTGAAAAGAACTCAAGGAATTGAGTAAACCTCTTTGGTCGCCCGATGAACCCCTTGCAGTTGAAAAGGTTTTACTTTCATCTTCATATCCAATGAAAACCTTAGTTGTACCTACTCATTCATATTTACAATGAAACGTTGTTGTAAAATGAAATAAAAAACTGAGGAAGAAACGAAGAAAGAGTGCCTAATGAAGAATGTCTATTTATTTGATATTTCTCCCTTCCTCAGTTACCACCTTCACCATATTAAGCTTCCACTTCCACCGCCCCCAGCATCAACCTCATGAATACAAATTTTAACACAATTACAGAAAAGAAAATCACGTCAACCTTTTGTTTTTATCATATACTGGTTTGATGTTGATGCAAGTTATATAATCAGGGACGTAGTCAGAATTTTAGTAAGTGGGGTCAAAACATCAACTATAAATCGAAACTTTAAATCTTATAACTTAAGTTTTTTTGAACCATTTATACTAATCAAGTAAAATTCAACTCATAAACCCATAAAAACTCATCAAATTCAATATAAATATTAAACAATTAAATATATATCAAAATAAATCAAATCTCAAATCCTTAAAATTAAGGTTTCATAATTTTTTAAACTCATTCAAATTAACTCAATAACTACCAAAATTTATCAAACTCACTAAAACAAAACTAATTAACCTATACAAACATAAACAAGATTAAATCAAACTCACATCAAAATCTAAGAATTTAATCTTTCAATTTAAACTCAATAAAAATTTATAGTTCATGATCTTTCATCAATTAAGAAAGATAAAAGAAAATATTTTAAGCAAAAAAAAAAAAAAAAAAAATGAGCATCATCTTAGTAGCCACCAAAGTAATAGCATTTCTTGAATAATCTAATCAAAGGAAGAAGAAAGTATGATTTAAAATGAGAGCAAACGAAGAATAAATTAAAAGTAAAAAAATATTAATACAAATTTTTGTGAGGTCAATATAAATTTAAGTAGGGTCAAGATTGTAAATTTTATAGTATATAAAACCCTTTTAATTTTTTTTTTTTTCAAATGTTGAGTGGGTTCAATTGAACCAATAGGTGTGGGTGTGGCTACGTAATCTATAATATAAAGAAGAATAATTGGAGGGCTACTTTGAAATCTTAATTAATCAACCTTCAAATAAATAAAGAATGTCAAATCCTTTGACTGGAATATGAAAGTCTCTTTATCTTAACCATAAGTTACCGACACAAATATATTAACTTTAGATATCTGAACAACAATGACTTGGATACAGCTCATCACTCTTATCTTTTAAGAGCAAAAATAAAACAAACCAAGAGATTATTCACAACATGGAACTGAAGAGATTCATGCACGAAATATATAAATGTTTCTTCTACGTCACTACTATTACTAATCAACCAAATAACCTATCACCCTCATGAACCTCACTTACCGCAATACTTTCTCCAAGTTGGTGGTTGCTTTGTTTTTTTCTAGGTGTACAAATTAGACCAGCGATGCCAAAAACCATTTCTACTTCAAATAACATTTGTGTTGTGTGTTGACATGTTGCGCATCGACCCTTTTGCTATATATGTGGTTCTTGATAATATTGCTTAGAGATTAGTTTCTTGATCGTGTTTTCATCAAAAGGGTAGTCTTCAAATTTCGAGAAAGCCCTCACCAACTTTTACTTCATTACCATTTCTCTTGTCATTTGAGCAAGGATATTATTTTTTGTTGATATGGGTAGTCTTCCAATCTCCGAGAATACAACCATGATTTGTGCTCCATTAATGGTTGAATCTGCGGAGCAAATGGTGAGCGATATGGACAGGGCCAAGGCAGAAGGTGCAGATATAGTTGAGTTGAGGTTGGACTTCATTCGCAACTTTCAGCCTCGCCGAGACCTTGAAATCATCCTCAAAAACAAGCCATTGCCAGTGCTCATTGTCTACCGGTAACAGTTACAATTCCATCTATTCTTAGACTTTGTCATATTTGCATTTGCTTTTCTGGTATTCAAACTGTATAGTTCTATTTTTATACAACGGAATGAGCACTCCCCCTTTAGAGCTGAAAGATTGTGTGACTGACTTCAATTCTTTCTTTCATAAATTGAAGGGGTTATTTTTACAATCAAATAGTTGGCAGTGTCGCAATCATGATGCTGGAGAGTAATATAGTAATTAACTAGTACATGAAAAGAATCATAAAATGACAAGATTTTGATGAGAAATATATGTGGTCCCTTAGTAATTTGTTTTTTTCTTTTCATAAGAGGACGAAAGAGCATGTACAGGTAAAACACGACTCTGAGTCTCTGACCAGTCAGTCATATTGCAAATTATTAGGTGGGCAAAGACATTAATGTCCCATATATGCCGTATTTATAGTATAAGCTGCAGAAATACTTATAAGTTCATATTTGGGTTGTGGGTAGGACCTAGTTAATCATTATAAATTATAAAGAATGCATATGAATAGTTGCTTTCTGTTGCATACTGTATAATATACAGTAGATTAATAATGTTCAGTAGATAAATGAGGAGTCTGTCTCTGATGCTTTGCATATTCCTAAGTTTATTTCAATACCAATCATCTGGTGGCTTCCAGTTCACATGTTGGTTGCCAATTTTTTCAAAGTAACTGATAATTGTATGCAGAAGAACATTGTGAAACTGAATGGGTGATATTTTCAACCTGGGTATTCTTATAAATGGACTTACCGTAGGGTGGTTTTTAATCTTTTTTGACCTGAGGACATCAGAAAATTTGGTGATCTTAGAGGAGCCACATAATTTTTCTCTAAGATGTGTGCTCAACCATGTGGGTGGTTTCTGATGTACTCGTGTTCACAAATTTACAAAGATGATCTGCATATTTCTCTGTTGTAATTTGCTCTGAAATTTCCATGTCAGGCTCTGCACTTCCTCTAATTGTGTTACATATATTTCTTCTCAGTTTCAAAAGTTTGTTGAATGATGAGGATGGATGATGGAATTATGCCACAGGAAAAGGCTTGTGTATATATGTTCATTCTAAGTTGTCAGATGTTTATTTTCAATTAGTCTACTGTTAAAAGATTAATAAGATAAGATAACAAGGATGAGCAAGTTCAGAACTAAATAAAATTATGGTGAACTTAGGAGGAATTTATATGTTTCTTGTCTCTGGAGAATAATCAAGTGTAATTTTCAGTACTAAAGGAGCAGCTGTAATTATGAATAATATTACATGGTAATGTCAAACTTCTAATTTCCTCGACATCTAATAATAGTTATGCAATTTTTTCTAGGCCAAAATGGGCAGGTGGTCAGTATGAAGGTGATGAGCAAAAAAGATTGGAAGCACTTCATATAGCCGAAGAACTAGGAGCTGATTATGTTGATTTTGAACTCAAGGTAGATATTTGATATATATATATATATATATATATATACACTGTATATATCCTATTCATTCTCGAACAGGGCATTTAAGATTCTTTCTTTCTTACTTATTGGTATTCTCCATTTGGCACTTTTTCTTCTTTATTTTAAATTAAATATTTGATAGCAGATATTAAATATGATGCCTATGGCAGCATTAGAACCAATTTCATTATCATTGTTATGAACTAAATGTTATCTCAAGTGTCAGATTATTTGACTTGCATCATTTGATTGCTCAGGTGGCTTCTGATTTTAAAGAGAAATGGCAAATGAGACATCAGAGTGATACAAAATTTGTCGTATCACATTACTTAGGCGGCATAACTCCTTCAATTGAAGATCTCAACCATCTTGTAGCACGCATGGAAGCCACTGGAGCAGATTTCGTTAAACTAATTGCCAGCGTAACTGATATTACTGAAATAGCCAGAATATTTCAGTTGATTTCACACTGCCAGGTATTAAACTGCATAATGGCACTATATGCAATTTAAATGTATTGCAAAATACATAAGATTCAATGAATAGAACATTTTCTTTGAGTAGAGGAACTTTAAATGCATCATGAGATTAGATAAATCTTAGTAAATTCTTTAGAATTTTGTAACTGCAGTATGACATTAGCTGCTGATATTACCAACAGGTTCCAACAATTGCATACTCTGTTGGGGAAAGAGGCTTCATGAGCCAGATTTTGTCTCCAAAATATGGTGTCGATTTAGTCTATGGATCTTTAGCGGGGAATCCGGATCCTGGTCTACCTACAATAGAAAGCCTGGTACAAACTTATAATGTGAAGCATATAGATGCAGATACTACAGTTTTTGGGCTCATTTCGAAACCAGTTAGCCACAGCAAAGGTCCATTATTGCATAATCCCACTTTCAGATATGTGAATTTCAACGGAATATATGTCCCCATGTTTGTTGATGATCTCAAATCATTCTTTTGCACCTACTCACGTGCTGACTTTGCTGGTTTTAGGTATGCTAGTCCATGTTGAAGTTAGGAAACCTATAAAATATTTTGGTACTCATAAAATTGGGGAATATGTCATAACTGCTTTATTTGTCTTTGCGAAATTCTCATTTTTCTCATGTGTTAATTGTAGTGTTGGGTTTCCATACAAGGAAGCCGTGACTGAGTTCTGCGATGAACTCCATCCTCCTGCTCAGGTTGATCTGTTTCCCCCAATTTGAATTTTTGCAATTATGTTGACAGTTTTAATTTCATACTATTACAATATTTTTCCAATGTATTTCCTCCTGCTATTCTTTGGCTCAAGCATGTTTTAGAGCACCATTTATGAGTCAAGTCTTGATCAAGGTTTGGTTTATGGAGCTGATTTTTTGACTGCGAAATGATATTCTTCATCAGTCTATAGGTGCGGTCAATACCATTATAAGGAGGCCTAGCGATGGGAAGTTAATTGGTTATAATACAGATTGTGAGGCTTCAATAACTGCAATTGAAGATGCCATTAAAGGTACTTATAGCAATGCCAGAACATGTCATTTCTACGTGTATGTCCAAATTGTAAGGACTTGATTATCTTATTCCATTTCAGATGTTGACATACTGATATATATGTGATTGAAATACCACAGAAAAGGAATCCTCTAATGGCAAAACGTCTTTTGGCTCTCCACTTGCTGGGAAATTATTCGTACTAGCAGGCGCTGGAGGTGCAGGGAGAGCACTGGCCTTTGGTGCAAAGAGTAGAGGAGCCCGGATAGTCATTTTTGACATTGATTTTGGTACATGATCTAGAAGTCTTTTTTCCTATGAGAATGGATGATATAATTTTTGTTCTTCTATAACAAAAATTATCTGGTTTCCAATCCTGACTGTTTCAATATATTGACTTCTATTGCCTTATTGTTTGTCCAAAAGACAGAGCAAAGTCTCTTGCAAGTGCTGTCTTGGGTGAAGCTCGGCTTTTGAAAGATATAGCCAATTTCCGGCCAGAGAAAGGGGCAATTCTTGCAAATGCTACACCGTTAGGAATGCACCCAAATACTGATCGAATTCCTGTGGCTGAGGTTCTTTCTACAACCATCATAACTAGAACAAAATTCTACAGTTTTGGTTACGCTACTAAATCTAAAACTGTTCATATGCTTTTTGAAGGAAACATTGCAAGATTACCAGCTTGTGTTCGATGCCGTTTATATTCCTAGAAAAACCAGGTTACTAAAAGATGCTGAAGCTGCAGGAGCAATCACAGTCAGTGGAGTTGAAATGTTCCTGCGACAGGCCATCGGTCAATTCAACCTCTTCACTAACGGAGAAGGTCAGTTTGACATAGAATTTTATACAATTTTTCAGTTTTGAGAACATATTTTGTTTAAATGCTATTAAAAACAATTTTCGAATACAATCTGACCTCTTTCCCCTTGGCTTTTCTGTATTGCAGCTCCAAAGGAGTTCATGCGAGAGATTGTTTTTGCTAAGTTCTGATGTATAATTTATACACATTGTCATTGTAACCTGCATTATGATTATTATTATTATTATTATTCTCTCATTGGTTAAACCAATTGATATTGCATAAACAGCTGATAAGACAAAGCTGAGAAGATTGATAATCTAGTTAAGCAAACTTGATTGAAATGCCTAGTAGCTTTACTGTCGGGTGTCTAATCAGTTCATCACATAAATGGGCTGGGGTGGGCTAAACATTGGGCTCAAGTTCAGCATAGAAATGTTATGGTTGATCTATTGGTGCAACTGTCAAAAAGTCAGTGAAAAGACAGGTAAGAGTGTTATAAATGGCACAACATAATATTATCCATTTTGACATTATAGAGCCTTACAGTATTGTTTTTGGGTTTCAGGCCCAAAATGCATTATAATGTGGGACTTCATAACAAAGAGGGAATTGTAACTGTATTTTTCTATCAGCAATTCAGCATAAACCAACAAAGATTGTAGAGGATCATATTATGGCAAGTGACCTCAAACATATAATTGAGATTCCCTCTTGCTAAGCATGTGGGTATTGTTTGTCCACGTTTCTGGATTGGAATCTCCAAAATTATGCAGAATTTACCACCAAACTGAGCCTGTAAACCATCAAACATCTCTTGTTTATCCACACAAGACAATATATAATAATTTAGATGAAGTTGATTATTTTATCTAGGTCTATCTGAACTGCAGTTTGAGTATGAACGACTGTTGCACAAGGCTAATTGTTAGATAGAAAATGGTCAAAGAGATTCAGATACAGAATTTGGTTTTCACTTTCAAATGGTATCCTCTTTTTTTTTTTTTTTTGGTTGATCGGAGGTGTTCGGAACAGCTTGTATGCATGTTAACTAATTTCTTAGGATCTTGAAGTTAACGATTGGATAAACTTTTAATTATCATCTCTATTAACAGTCTCTGAGTAATACATCCAAGATTCTTAGTTGATCACTCAATCATCCAGTGATGGTTTCCAATGATATCGTTGATATGATAATCAAATGTTTTATTTTAATAATATTATACAATATTCACTAAAAAGAAGGAAATTCAGTTTTCTGTAAATCATTTTCTGGACAATGACATCAACGAAAAAAGTTAAGTACTTACATATCATCGAATAAATAATATCCCGTGTCTATTTATAAAATGGAAATATGTAATATCATATAAATTAAATATTTTTTTTGGATGAGAAATTTTAAAATAAAATATAATAAAGTGTAAATTATATTTAATATGCGAATATGGTAATCACGTGAAGTTGTATTTGTGAAATAATGAACTACCACAAGAATGCAATAATTTAATATTCAAAAGGGTATTTTGTTTTGAGTTTTGGACTATTTTATTCTGAAAGGTAGATAGAATAAAATATCTCACATTTTATTGTACTCACGTGTTTACCAAAACTTCAAACTTATTCATTGTTTCATTACGATTAGGATTAACTTTTTAAGCATCACTTGAAAATTTTTCAACACCCATTTCACAAACCAATTCATCGGCGATGTGTTCAATTTTGACTCTGACCTTGCCGCCATTCATCTGTCTTTCTCTTGAGCCTCCTTTCCGAAGTTCCTATAAGTTGCCCCTCAGTATCTCTTTTTATCTTAATTGTTTAGTACTATATGTAAACTTAACTTAAAATTTTGACTTAAATTGAGGCAGTCATTGATATCTTGTAATCCAACATATGTGAGAAAGAGTTTGGAGATTTATCACCTCAATAATCTCTACGTTATTGGATTATATTAAACCTACAGCTGAAAATCTATGTAAAAAATCACGTATAAATCATTTATATTAATTAAATCCGAAGTGTTTTTTATGTTATTTATGAATCAAAGATACAAACACAAAACCATTGTTTTATGACCCATCTACTTTGTACTTGGCAACAATTATTCCTATATGCTTTTTTCTAGATGCCATATAGAAACATTAAGAAAGAAACAAAATCAAGTCCTTAAACACAAATCAAAAGACTAAATTTATTTTATAATTGAAGCTAGAATTGCGGCAACCTTTTTCAACTTGATTAAGGTTTTGATTATTTTAAAGTTTCAAACATGAAACAGTCCAAAATGGAAGCAGCAGCCGGTTAAAGCTTGCATGACGACCACCTAAGTTTCTACAGGAAGAATCAGTTCGTATCTGATAGTTTGTTTGACAACTGAAGAGAAGACTTAAAGAGTGTGAGACTATTAATTCCCACCCAACTCTCAATCTACCCTTCCTTCAGAGAAGAAGAAAAAAACGAAAAAAGTTAAACATGTTTTAGAATAATTAGATGAATACATAAATATTGCCAAAACCAACATATATATATATATAATTTACAACTCTCATTATACTATATTACACCTCTTTCTTCTATATCCAACTATTCACTTCTCCTGCAAAATCTATACCAGTAGTTCAAGAGTTAATCCACAGCAAAATGGGCAGCCTTCCGGTATACTTACATTTTCCTCTTCACTTTCTACTCATACTCTTTCAGAATACCAAGTTTAATTTCACGTTCAGCGTTATTTTCTCTCAAAACTGGTTTAATTAAGCTGCTTCCATGGCTTATATGTTTTTTTCAGAGTCACATTTTGTTTTACTTTGTCTGTTCAACTAGCTTCACTTATCACTTATAATTATTAATCTTTTCAGGTTTTTGCAGAAGATTTTTTTTTACTTGAAAGTTCTGTGATATTGAGTCCATGCAGCTTAGTATGTGCTACCGGTGTAATCTCATATTCTTTTTTCTGTTGTGTTACTTTATTTGTCAGTTCACTACATCCGATCTTCAAACGAGCACAAGTGGGGTTCCGAGTAGTCCAACGCTGCTATGTACGCCATTGATGGGAACAACAGTGGACCAGATGTTCATTGAGATGCGAAAAGCCAAGGAAATTGGTGCAGACATTGTTGAGATCCGCCTCGACTGTTTGAGAAACTTCAATCGCCGCCAAGATCTTGAAATTCTTATTAAACAGTCTCCCCTGCCCACTCTTGTCACTTATAGGTAATGAACAAAGTCCAAGATTGCCTCTCTTCCATATTTACTGGTTAATGTTTCGTTTAGTTTGTCTTGTTTTCACTATCTTTAAACAAACTTGTCTTGCTTTTAATGGTATACTCTTTATCTGTCTATACAATGAATAACTGAAGAAACCTGTAGAATGATGTTTTTCTTAGACTTCTTTTTGCCAATTATAGGTATGGCGAATTTGATATGCACTCTGCCTACTGTATATGTATCTTTTGCTATATGGAGAAACTCCATATCCATAATCTCTCTTCAGAGTGGTTCATGATTGAACTCTAGAGGCTATTTGAGTAGCATTAAGTGTATTTTAAGTCTGTTCTAAAGTTGCATTTCACTTCGGGCAACACTTTTTTCTGTTGCTCTTTGGTTGATTGGTTTGTAATTAGTGTTTTCATTCTGTTTCAAAAATTTCTTTCTTAAAAGCTGTTGCTTTTTCATGTACCTTTTAGACCAATTTGGGAAGGAGGTCAATATGAAGGTGATGAAAACAAGAGACAAGATGCACTTCGTTTGGCAATGGAACTCGGAGCAAGTTATATTGATGTTGAGCTTGAGGTAGCTAAACTTTCAGCATCCTGATCAATTCAATTACATGACAGCATAAGTTTTATTTTAGCACTATGATTTCTAAGTGCCATTCGCAAAGCTAATACATCTGTATGTTTTTGTTCATCCTTTTTGCAGGTTGCTCATGACTTCAACATGTCAATTTCTGGAAAGAAGCCTGATAACTTCAAAGTCATTGTTTCTTCCCACAATTTCCACAACACACCATCGGCCGAGGCTATTGGCAATCTGGTGGCAAGAATACAAGCTACTGGAGCTGACATAGTGAAGATTGCAACTACTGCATTAGATATCACTGATTGTGCACGCATTTTCCAGATAATGGTGCATTCTCAAGTAAGTATCATATGATATTCTTTACAAAGTACTGATTTCTTTCAAGTATTGCATTATTCCTGAACTGTATGTCCTTAAATTTGTGATACATTTACTGAATCTTTGCAGATTCCAACAATTGGGATTGTTATGGGTGAGAGGGGTTTGATTTCTCGATTACTTAGTCCCAAATATGGTGGATATCTCACTTATGGTGCACTTGAGGCTGGTGCTATTTCAGCTCCTGGCCAACCAACAGCAAAGGACTTGCTGGATTTATACAACTTCAGACTTATAAACCCCGATACTAAAATCTATGGCATTATTGGGAAACCTGTTGGCCACAGCAAGAGTCCTCTTTTATTNTACATATAATTTACAACTCTCATTATACTATATTACACCTCTTTCTTCTATATCCAACTATTCACTTCTCCTGCAAAATCTATACCAGTAGTTCAAGAGTTAATCCACAGCAAAATGGGCAGCCTTCCGGTATACTTACATTTTCCTCTTCACTTTCTACTCATACTCTTTCAGAATACCAAGTTTAATTTCACGTTCAGCGTTATTTTCTCTCAAAACTGGTTTAATTAAGCTGCTTCCATGGCTTATATGTTTTTTTCAGAGTCACATTTTGTTTTACTTTGTCTGTTCAACTAGCTTCACTTATCACTTATAATTATTAATCTTTTCAGGTTTTTGCAGAAGATTTTTTTTTACTTGAAAGTTCTGTGATATTGAGTCCATGCAGCTTAGTATGTGCTACCGGTGTAATCTCATATTCTTTTTTCTGTTGTGTTACTTTATTTGTCAGTTCACTACATCCGATCTTCAAACGAGCACAAGTGGGGTTCCGAGTAGTCCAACGCTGCTATGTACGCCATTGATGGGAACAACAGTGGACCAGATGTTCATTGAGATGCGAAAAGCCAAGGAAATTGGTGCAGACATTGTTGAGATCCGCCTCGACTGTTTGAGAAACTTCAATCGCCGCCAAGATCTTGAAATTCTTATTAAACAGTCTCCCCTGCCCACTCTTGTCACTTATAGGTAATGAACAAAGTCCAAGATTGCCTCTCTTCCATATTTACTGGTTAATGTTTCGTTTAGTTTGTCTTGTTTTCACTATCTTTAAACAAACTTGTCTTGCTTTTAATGGTATACTCTTTATCTGTCTATACAATGAATAACTGAAGAAACCTGTAGAATGATGTTTTTCTTAGACTTCTTTTTGCCAATTATAGGTATGGCGAATTTGATATGCACTCTGCCTACTGTATATGTATCTTTTGCTATATGGAGAAACTCCATATCCATAATCTCTCTTCAGAGTGGTTCATGATTGAACTCTAGAGGCTATTTGAGTAGCATTAAGTGTATTTTAAGTCTGTTCTAAAGTTGCATTTCACTTCGGGCAACACTTTTTTCTGTTGCTCTTTGGTTGATTGGTTTGTAATTAGTGTTTTCATTCTGTTTCAAAAATTTCTTTCTTAAAAGCTGTTGCTTTTTCATGTACCTTTTAGACCAATTTGGGAAGGAGGTCAATATGAAGGTGATGAAAACAAGAGACAAGATGCACTTCGTTTGGCAATGGAACTCGGAGCAAGTTATATTGATGTTGAGCTTGAGGTAGCTAAACTTTCAGCATCCTGATCAATTCAATTACATGACAGCATAAGTTTTATTTTAGCACTATGATTTCTAAGTGCCATTCGCAAAGCTAATACATCTGTATGTTTTTGTTCATCCTTTTTGCAGGTTGCTCATGACTTCAACATGTCAATTTCTGGAAAGAAGCCTGATAACTTCAAAGTCATTGTTTCTTCCCACAATTTCCACAACACACCATCGGCCGAGGCTATTGGCAATCTGGTGGCAAGAATACAAGCTACTGGAGCTGACATAGTGAAGATTGCAACTACTGCATTAGATATCACTGATTGTGCACGCATTTTCCAGATAATGGTGCATTCTCAAGTAAGTATCATATGATATTCTTTACAAAGTACTGATTTCTTTCAAGTATTGCATTATTCCTGAACTGTATGTCCTTAAATTTGTGATACATTTACTGAATCTTTGCAGATTCCAACAATTGGGATTGTTATGGGTGAGAGGGGTTTGATTTCTCGATTACTTAGTCCCAAATATGGTGGATATCTCACTTATGGTGCACTTGAGGCTGGTGCTATTTCAGCTCCTGGCCAACCAACAGCAAAGGACTTGCTGGATTTATACAACTTCAGACTTATAAACCCCGATACTAAAATCTATGGCATTATTGGGAAACCTGTTGGCCACAGCAAGAGTCCTCTTTTATTTAATGCATCATTCAAGTCAGTTGGTATGAATGCAATTTATCTTCATTTCCTGGTGGATGATGTGGCAAAGTTTTTCAACACCTATTCAACCCCTGATTTTGGTGGATGCAGGTCTAATTTCCTTTTGCATATTTTTCTTTATAATTTCATTGCGCTAGTTTTTCGACATGCGAAGTAATAGTATTTCACTTGGTAATTCAGCTGTACAATCCCTCACAAGGAAGCTGCACTTAAATGCATGGATGATATTGATCACATTGCCAAGGTATTAAATTTGTTTTCACTCTGCGATATTCATTGACATTTTCCCCAGAACTTGATGTTTGCACCTGCAGGTAAAATTTAATGATTGATTCTTTTCTTCTTTCAGAAAATTGGAGCCATCAATAACATTTGCCATAGACCGGACGGGAAGTTGTATGCTTTTAACACTGACTACATCGGTGCCATTTCTGCTATCGAGGATGGACTAAGAGGTTGCAACCATGTTCACTAGAGTTGGATCCATCTTAAGAAACTTCTCTCTCAGCTTTCTGACTTATGTTTTCATTCAACAGAATTAAACGGAAAAGCTCCTGGAACTGAATCACCCTTAGCTGGTAAACTACTTGTTGTTCTCGGAGCTGGTGGTGCCGGCAAGTCACTTGCCTATGGTGGTGCACAAAAGGGAGCAAGAGTTGTCGTGGCCAATCGCACATTTGGTAACATTCTATCATTGTGTTACAACATTTGAGTTGGGTTCTATTCTCGATGAAATTTTGTAACTGGGTGATAATGTGCAGAAAGAGCTAAAGAACTCGCTGACAAAGTCGGGGGAAAAGCTATGACTCTTAAAGAAGTGGAGCATTTCCATCCTGAAGAAGGAATGGTTCTTGCAAACACTACATCTGTGGGAATGAAGCCTAAAATTGATGAAACCCCCTTGCCCAAGGTATTCCAAATTCCTTCCTTTCTCTGTTATTCATCAATGTCATTGATTTAATTGACACTGATAAACATAGTATTTGACTCTAATGTTTCTACTTCTTTGCAGCATGCCCTGAAACATTATTGCTTAGTATTCGACGCCATTTACACGCCAAAAGACACCAGGCTCCTGAGGGAGGCAAAAGAGACTGGAGCTGTCATTGTTTATGGGACAGAAATGTTGATCCGCCAAGGCTTTGAACAATACAAGAACTTCACTGGTTTGCCTGGTAAGTTATGATTGAACCAAACTTGTTAAAAACAGAATTAAAAGAGTCAGCTCTTAGTCCATAATAATTCATTGGTTTTGTTTCATTTTCAATTGCAGCTCCAGAAGAATTGTTTAGGCAACTCATGGAGAAACATGCATAACAGGGAATGTGCTTCGTTTTTGCTGAAAATCGTCCGTTTCTATCCAAGCTAAAGTGTTTAAAATTTTGCATTATAGGAGTAGCTGTTAAGTTATGTTGTTGTATTAATAAAAATTGAATATGGAATGGGAGAACAACTTTTCTTTTGAACGATCTATCATTTCTTTAAAAGACTTTAGTACGAGTGCTATCTTTTGGGCTTTGTAGTTGAACGACTCGTCATCTGTTGACCATAAACGACTTGTCCTCCTTGTGAATCCTAGTTACATGATGTGTGGTTCAATAATGTTAGCTATATGACAAGTTGTTCACTAAAGCGCCAGGCCGCCCCGCTGCTCTTAAGTGAAGTAGCAGCTCTGAAGGTAGGGATGGGTGTTTGCCCCAACCCGCCTCGAACAGGCCAAGGATTCCTTGAAAGAGTCGGGGATCGGGATGGACCTGAGCCGAAGAAAATTTGAGATCTGCAGCTCAAGTTATTGTCCAAATACNAAAAAAAATTGAAATAATTTTTGTAATATATGCTTATATTATTAGAAGGCCCCCAAAGTAACTCTTGCCTAGGGTCACAAATGTTCTAGAGACGGCCTTGGGCGTTTGCCCCACCCCACCTTGAACGGGCTAGGGATTCCTTGAAAGAGTCGGGGATTGGGACGGACTCGTGTTATCTTTCATATGATGAAGCAAAGAATGATATTTGGGGAAAAATGAACTGCTTCTTTATTGAATGTACTGTACCTCTTATATACAAATACAATAATATTAGTTAATAACTAACTTGAGTTAACTAACTAACTAACTACAGTTAACAACAATAACTAACTATATTAACAATATTTAACTTCCAATACACCGCACGCGACAGCCATTTTCGGCATGTACCCGACGTTGTTAGCTTTCCTTGACACCACCCTCTTCCTCCCCTCAGCCCTTTCACCAAAACCCCTATCATACCTCATCCGTTTACTCTACAAATCGTTGGCCATTGATACCTTTTGGGCCGTGACTTCTAAAGACTTTTCCGGTCAATCCTGACATTGGAAATCACTCATTTCACCACCCATCACTTCTCCAACATCTACTCTCCAAAACCCCCCATAACCTAACCCTGTTAGCCTGCTGGTCGCCGTCCACTTCTCCTATTGATTTTGCATCTCAAAAGGCAAAAAAAAAAAAAAAAAAAGAAAAAAAATTGAAATAATTTTTGTAATATATGCTTATATTATTAGAAGGCCCTCAAAGTAACTCTTGCCTAGGGTCACAAATGTTCTAGAGACGGCCTTGGGCGTTTGCCCCACCCCACCTTGAACGGGCTAGGGATTCCTGGAAAGAGTCGGGGATTGGGACGGACTCGTGTTATCTTTTATATGATGAAGCAAAGAATGATATTTGGGGAAAAATGAACTGCTTCTTTATTGAATGTATTGTACCTCTTATATACAAATACAATCATGTTAGTTAATAACTAACTTGAGTTAACTAACTAACTAACTACAGTTAACAACAATAACTAACTACATTAACAATATTTAACTTCCAATACACCCCCCCCCCCCTTTTCTCGTTGGAGTGTGCTAGAGATCAAGCACACCCAACTTGCCTAAAAGATGATGATGAAGTTGGTTCCCAAGAGCCTTAGTCAAAATGTCAGCTGGCTGCTCAGATGAAGAGATGTAGGCAGTGCTAATGAGACCCTTTTGAATCTGTTCGCGTACAATATGACAGTCTGTATCTATATGTTTGATCTGCTCATGAAACATGGGATTCGAAGCAATGTAGTGAGCAACCTGATTATCACAATGCAGAGGAACAAGAGACAAATTGGAGAAAGTAAGTTCTTGGAGAAGTTGGACTATCCACATCACTTCACAAATAGTTGAGGCCATGGCCCTGTACTCAGTTTCTGAAGAAGATTTTGAGATAGTAGCCTGCCTTTTGGATTTCTAGGAAATGAGTGAGGAACCAAGAAAAATACAATAGCCTATAACTGATTTTCTAGTCATCAAATAGGAGGCCCAATTAGAGTCATTATAGGTAGATAAACGCAAAGAGTTGGCTGTGGGAAAAAAGATACCTAAACCTAGAGTAGATTTCACATATTTGACAACACTAAGGGTTGCTGCCATGTGTGATTGTTTAGGCTGATGCATGAACTGACTTAATAAGTTCACAGGGTAACTCAAATCATGTCTGGTCATGCATAAATAGAAGAGCTTGCTAATCAATCTCTGATAGACTGATGGACCAGGAAGTAAAGGATCACTGCCAGTGGGAAACTAATCATCATAGGTTGTTGATGTAAGTTTCAAATGGGACTCCATAGGAACACTAGATGGCTTAGAAGCTGATAACCCAAACTTAGAAATAAGCTCTAAGGCATACTTTCCCTGACATAAGCTAATGCCCTTACTTGATCTAGCTACCTCAAACCCCAAAAAGTACCTCAACATGCCAAAATCTTTCAACTTAAAATTGGAATGCAATAGCTCCTTAGTTTGATGAATCAAATTCTGATCATTTCCAGTTATCACAATGTCATCCACATATACCAGTAAAATGAAAGTATGAGAATTCAGTGTCTTAATGAACAAAGAGTAGTCTAACTTGGACTACCAAAAACCACCATGCAACAAAGTTGAAGTCAGTTTATAATTCCAGGCCTTAGAGGCCTGTTTCAAACCATATAAGGATTTATGCACCCTGCACGCAAGATTTTTTTGCCTCCCTTGCTGTGTAAAACCCTGAGGAAGTGTCATGTAAATTTCTTCTTGCAAATCCCCTTACAAGAAGGCATTATCAACATCAAGTTGAAATAGAGGCCAATGAAGCATAGAAGCTAAAGCTAAAATGGTCCTAACAGTAACCATTTTTACAACAGGGGAAAAAGTTTCAGAATAGTCAATACTAGCCTGCTGTGTGTACCCCTTAGCAACCAAACGTGCTTTATATCTGTCCAAGGTTCCATTAGCTTTGTACTTGAGCTTGTAAACCCATTTACAACCAATGGGAACTTTGCCAGGAGGTAAGAGTACTAAAGACCAAGCGTGGTTCAGTTCTAAGGCATGGATTTCTTTATTCATAACATCCACCCAATTATGGTCTTGTGATACTTGATGAAAATAGGAGGGTTCAGCCAAGGACAGATTGGATAAAAAAGCCTTATATGTGGGTGAAATAGTGTTATAAGAAACAAAATTAGAGATGGGATAGTGTATGTGATTGGCTGGGGAGGAATGAGGGATAGTAGGACAAACAAAGTCTTGTGTCCAAATAGGAGGATGGACACTCTTGTTGGATCTCCAGAGAACAGGAGAAGGAATAGGATTATCAGAAGAAGGACAAGAAGTAGCAGGACTTGGTGTATTTAGGGAAGAAAGGTCAGTGGATAATGTGTTGGTAGGGGAAGTAATTGGTTTTGTGATCTGGACAGGAGGGGAATCATGATCTGGAAAAATAAGAAAAGGAGACTGACCTGGTTCTGTGTCAATAAAAACAAAATCAAGTGGAAAGGTAATTTGTGAGGGGTGAGAAAAGGCAAAAGGGAAAATGTGTTCATAGAACACAACATCTCTGGTAACTGTTATGGAATGAGTAGACAAATTATAAAGGATATACCCTTTTTGAGTTAAGGAATAACCTAAGAACATTGAGGGTATGGCTCTAGGAGACAGTTTGTCTTTAGAAGGTAAAATGGTAGCATATGCCAAAGATCCAAAAACCCTTAAATAATCCGATACAGGGGGTTTAGTGAAAAAAAAAATTCAAAAGGGGATAATCCTTTAAGAACCAAAGTAGGCAATCTATTGATTATATAAACTACTGCCTAGTCACAATATCCCCAAAATTTAGTAGGAACATGAGACTGAATGTGCAAGGCTCTAGCTACTTCTAAAATGTGCCTATGCTTCCTTTCAACTATGCCATTTTGTTGACGAGTATAGGCACAAGAATTTTGATGAATTATGCCTCTATTACTTAACAAATCATGGCAAGAAGTATTAAAAAACTTTGACCCATTATCAGTTCGAATGCACTTGGGATGCATATGATATTGTGTGTGAACCATCTAGAGGAAATATTTGAGTGCAGAAAAGGTGTCTGACTTGAATTGCATAAGAAATAACCAAGTCATCCTAGAACGATCATCTACTATGGTTAGAAAATATCTAGCATTACCATTGGTAGGAATCCTATATGGTCCCCAAACATCTAGGTGCAAAAGATCAAAATTATGTTGTGATTGTGATGCACTATTAGGAAAAGGAAGCCTGGTTTATTTGGCTAAAGGACACACATAACAGTGTGTAAGAGGAAGATGTGATGTGTTTATTTTGGGCAAATTGGAATGCATATTAGACAAAGTAGAATAGGAAACATAGCTTAATCTTTCGTGCCATAATGTGATAGTTTTGGACATAGAAGATGACACACACGAATTAGAAAATATAGGCTAAATTGTGAACTGGAGTGTACAACTTGTGAAGAAAGTAAAGGCTTACATTCAGTTTTATTAGGCTTTTCAAAAACTAATACAAAGGGAGAAATATACAAATTTGGATCAAAGTAATAGAGTCCTTGACTATGCTTACCAATCCCCTTCAATTTGCCATTGCAAAGATCCTAAATTAAGCAAAAACCAGGATAAAAAGTAATGAAACAGTTGTTAGATTTGGTAAGTTTTGAAACAGAAAGTAAATTGTGATGAAATTCAGGAACATGTAGGAATTAGACAAACAAAGATTATTGTCCAGATCAACAGTTCCAATATGTTTCACATAAGTTTTGGCTCCACTTGGTAAATGTACAAGAAATCTAGAGGATCGTTCTACAGTAACAGGTGATTTTAAAAGAGAATAGTTAAATGTTATGTGATCAGTTGCTCCAATATCTATTATCCACTTACTATTATCAAGACAAAAAAATAGAGCAACAAATATACTTGCAAGATTAGTAGCTGGTGTAGAGACATTTTCCTTTCCCAACAATTGAAGAAGTTGATTATACTGCTATCTTGTCAACACTGGGCCTACGATAGCAGTAGGATTTCTAGCTTCAACTGAATCAGGAGCTGAGTTTTGAGCATGGGCTTAATCAGCATAAACTTTTGTTTTGGAGAAGGATTTGTTCTTTGTGAATTGATAATCTGCTAGGTAGCCAA